AAGACTAACATGTACATGCTCAGTGTTAGTTTGTCAATGATTTTTTTTTTTATGCCCAAAGGACATTTGTGCTTTGGGTGAGCTGGTTGGAGTGGATTCCTGGTGACTAAAAGCAACAGGGGAAGAATTTTAAGAAATATGATCTACAAAGTCACGAACTAAACTTTCCCAGCCATCTTGGTAAATGCCATTCTAGCAAGCTTATAGAATAATTATAACAGTTCCCTTAGGTAAGTGAGAAACATCTGTTGGCAGAACATGGCAGGTGTTAACAATTACACATACTGAACTTTTAAAAAATGTTTTTAATTAAAAGAATCTTGTTTTCTGAAAAGAAAAAGAAATCTTGAATTTGAAGATACTCTTGTTTTAAGCGTCTAAATCACATTCTGCACAAAATGGCAACGCCTCTGTCTCCTTGCACCATTTGTATTTCCTGTTTGGTTCAGATCATTGCAATCAGGAGCGAATTATAATTCATCACAGTATTTTACACAATTCATATTCTGGTCTGAGGAGCTGAACACTCACGAAATTGGTATGGAAAAGCTGATAACAGACATTTTGGTTTTATGGGCAAGGTGGTTGCCATTAACTAACTCAGACTGAATGGGCACAATACAAAAAAAAAGAAAGCAAGAGACATCTGCAAACAGATATCCGAGTGTTTTTCATACCATCTCTGGAAAAGATCCAAATAAGCAGCCCGTGTATCATATGAGCACTGTGCTACGATTCAGCTACAGTAGCTCCTAATAACCACAGGCTACGTTTACTGACCACGTACCATGAACCAGGCAGTTTCTGCACTAGCAGTTCTGTGTCCCAAAGACTATGATGCCCATTCTAATGATTCATTTACACTTATTCATCCATTGCTTTGGAGACTGGATCTTGCTGTGTTGTCCAGGCTGGTTTCAAACCAGTGCTCTCAAAACAGTGTTGTCTAGACATCTTTGTAGTCTCTGGGATAACAGGCACTTGCCGCCACATTTGGCTTTACTGATTTTAAACAAAGATCACAGACAAGCCACTTCACCTGCTCAAGGCCAAGCAAGGAGCTACACCTGACATCTAAGTGGTGGCTTTGAGGTTTCCACACAGGATTTCTTGCTCTTGGCCATGCTACTAATGTCATTATTGTGATTATTGTTATCATTATTATTTTTGCAGCATCTAGGAATAGCCAACCTCTACCATGTTTTGTCTATGCACGAGCAAAATTTACAAACATTTCAGAGTCCATGACATCATTAAAGAAAAACAAAAATGGATGTTTGGGACTGTAGCTTAGTTAGTAGAGTGTTTGCCTAGCAAGAACAAAGCTCTGGGTTCTAGTCTTAGCATGGCAGGAACAGGGTGTGGTGGCGCACACCTGTAAGCCCAGCACAATTCCAAGCCTATACTGGCTACGTAGTAAGTATGAGCCCAGCCTGGTTTGTATGGCATCATGTCTCAAAAAAAGGAGGAGAAGGGAGTGGGGATGAGGGAGAGGATGGAGGAAAGAGGGGGATGAGGAGAAGGATGAGGAAGGAGAGGAGGAGGAAGGGGAGAAGGATGAAGACGGAGAAGGAGGAGGAGGAGAAGGATGAAGAGGGGGAGGAGGAGAAGAAGAAAGATGGAGGAGGAAGAGGAGCAGGAGGAGGAAGAGGAGGGAGAGGAAAAGGGAAAGGAGAAGGGAAAAAGAAGAAAAGACATCATTTGGAATGAGAGTGAGCATATTCCAGGACACAGTCAGTTTGGGAATAATCACAGTCAGTCTATGAAGGTGTTTGTTGCAACCTGTAGAACCAAAATATCAGGAACAGAAGACCCCCTTAGTCCAGCAGTACTGGGAATGAGAGGCAAACAGCA